CCTCTCCTACACAAAACATGTCCCAATTTAACAAAATGACATTTTGACATTTGACAAAAATATGAACTAAAGATGTAAGTATCAAGGCAGTACCTGCCTGACTTTTAAAAACTAATAAGACTGACACCTGGTTCATACTTCGATGGCTGGCCACCAGGAAATGCCAGGATTGTAAGGTAGCAAATACAGTGGCCAAAAAAACCCCCAAAAAAACAAACCAACCATGGACATGTCCATGAAATCAGCAGACACTAAGCTCAACTTGAAGCTGACGTTTTAGGAAACCCATTCTAGATATGGAGGTGAGGGTGGTAGAATTCATTGAAGTGCTAATGGGTTTACTGCATAAATCTATACAAGTCTATTTGGAAGAACGTCTCACTGAATTAAAATGCAGCTTATGCAGTGTCATCCAAGGGGCATGGAGGGTCAAAAAAAGGCAAGATGGTGCTCACACTATTGCAAATGAAACCCTGCTCCTTTTATAGGTGTGCAATGTTCGCCTGTTTTGATCCCCCTTCAGAGGTGATGGTTTGTCTTATGTCTCACCTATAAAAGTAACACTGTAGCTTTCGGTTACTTAGTCCTCCAGTAACATAGATACTTTTATTCATAAGCTGAGGTTCTGTAACACAAGAGAAACACCCAATGCCTTATATTCAGCCTTAGACCGTCATTAAACTAAACTTGTTACCTTATGACTCGATTCACCATCCAAACTAGCTGTTGTAACAAAACATGTGCCATCTGATCGACTACTTGACAACAATATTAAGTCACAAGGGAATGTTTCATCTTCTTTTACCATCACAATGTCTCCAACCTAGGGGGAAAATGTACAGGGAAAAATCCTGATTAGAATAGAATTAGAGTCACTCATCTTAAAAGTGAACACACTGTTACCATCACGATAAACCAAAATGTGGTTTGTCTGTTTTAAGGCTTAGTATGATGTCCAGCATGATATATAAACTCAACAAGATTGTTTAATGTGACACATAAATCAAATGAGTATAGTTTAAAATATTGGCTTAGTACTGTACAATGAACCAACTGGCTTGGTTGGAGAATGTTTTAAGCCACTGTGTAGTTTTGTTGTTTGTGTCTTAATGGGGCTTAAATCCCATGTTTACACTTAGTATTAGACCAGTGAAAGTAGCTTATTCAGTAAACCATGGCTAAAACAGATCATGGCCCAGCATGATATATGAACCCAGTCATTAAATGGATTAAACCTAGGCTGCAACATATAATGTAATTTGATTTGGATTTAATCTCATAAAGTGAATAGCATCAGTGATTAAACCATGATTCTTTTTGTGGCTTTACTGGCAGACCAAACTGTAGCATAGCATGATATGCACACAGGGTTGCAGGATTTGTGAATTTCTGATATAGTCCTCCTTTGTTATTTCTGTCCAAGCCTTCACACAATTCACAGAGCTACAAGACAAGAACAGCTACAAATGGAGGAAAAACAAATTAGGATTTCACTAAACTAGTCATGATAAATTGGATAATCTTCAAAATTAACTCTGGCTTATTTCTGTCTTATTCAGGAAATCAATTAATAGAATTAGTACTTCCTCACAGTCTCCTGTGCTCCTCAGCTGCAATACTATATAGCAGGTGATAAACTGGGGAAGTGCAGTTAGAGCAAGAAATGAAATATGTGTTGAGACACTGCACCGCAAACATCACTCCTCACATACTTGCATGTTGCACTGTAACACAAGTAGAAAAGGTTTGTGTTGTGACACTGAGATGTCACAATGCAAATTTTGTCATTTTGATTGGTGACAAGATGGCTAGCTGAGAAGCCGCCACCTAGAAGCATATTCTTGAAATGTGCTAAGCTATAATTCCCATGATTTCCTGCTACCTTGACTGTGATTGCTAGAACCTATAGGATTTTCTAAAGTACGGTGATTTAGGAGTAAATAGGAACAGAGGAACACTCTTGAACACAAGCAGAATTCTGGGGGGTTTATTTAAAGTTGTACTTTTAGACTTATTAGCTCCAATGGAAACTAACTGTTAATGTAAATGAAGGGTCAAACTCAATGGTTCATTACAGGTATACCAAAAATACAGGAATACATTCAGCAACAGAATTAATCTGCATCGATGAAGCTTTTATGAACAAGTTTCATTTTGGAAGATTCCAAGCTTTTAAACAGAAAATCAAAAAAGTTTAAAGAACAATGAAATGCCCAATGTTTTTCTAATAGCATTCCCTCAAAAAAAATACCTGCAGATAATAGCTTTTAGTTTTGTTTTTAAGCTCTGTTTAAATTAGAACAGGGTGAAAAATGTGGAAACATTTCTGTAGAACGTATAGTCATTTTTCATGCACCAGTGAAGTAAAACAATATGGAAAATTCTCTGTAGAGGAATGGAAAAGGCACATCAAGCAAGCACAAGTACTTACTGACCTAGAAAAAAACTAAAACTGTAAACAATGTAATTTATGAAAAGAACACTCCAAAATTGCACCTCTTTGCCATTCATTAAAGCAGCTCCTCTTTTTCTCAGCTTCCTCATGAGCCTGAAGAAAAACTGTTTAGCTCCTTTAAGAGTTGCATTAACTTTAATTAGTAAACTACTTAAAGCAGTGGTAGCCTTTTTTACGCTCATGTCACACAGCAGCCTGGAAAAAAAAATTGGACTGCTTTAATTAATACAGAAGTGCTTCTGCTTGTGAGAATCCTGAAGCACTTCTTGAAAGCCATTTCCAAAGCACGGCAAGCCTTGTGAAATACAGTGAGGCTGCAGACCTATATTCCCTTCCCTGGAACACACTATTAAAAATCCCTAGCTGTCAACAGAATTACATGCCTTGATCTGCTTTAAATACTTTTATGTCTGAAACTTACAATACCTTAAAAATTAACAAAAACATCTGGTAAGGAGTCAGTGACAAACCCCTTCCTTATTGTGCCAATAAAATAACAGGATGTATCCATATAGTCACTAGAAACTGAGCTCAGCTTGAGGAAAACATTGCCTTTAATTTGTAGTGGAGTAGAGTTCACTACTTCTGTGTCATGTGTCAGCCTCAGCTGTCATGTATGGATACCCATGTGTGTGTGCAGGAGGGAGATATTAGATTTGTTTATTTACTTTTCAGCTCAGTGCTCATATGTACCATCCTTGCAAAAAGATATGTAGTGGCTGAAATGAATTTTAGTCTAGAAAAGATAGTGCCATAATAAACTTGCTGGTGTTAAAGGCGCTAGGCCTCTAGACAGTGGTTCCCAGACAATGGCCTGCAAGGAAATGAGAAGTTGTATTATAATAATACAGTATAGCCCCATTCACCTCTTAACAAATCACATTCTTATATGCGTCCTACAATATTCTCTGATTTTAAATGATGGTGCTTTTGCATGACGTACTACATGTGGATTGTTGTTCTTCACACATTCGGAAAAATTGGTCAGTCTAAAAATGGAGAATGGCCTTAATCTGATGTGCTTAAAGTAACTTTCTTACCAGGTGATCGTCAAATGTATTCAAAGACATGGTAGTGGTCTGCATAAAGGAAATGATTAAGAACAAAGGTTCTGGCATTAGCTGTCATTAAAGGGTTATGAACTATTGAGTTAAGCAACAATTTCTTCCCATTTTGGTACTAAGAAGCAAATTCCCAATTTTGCTTTTATTGAATTTTAGTTTATTTATTTTATTTATGATTTGTATATTTGTTATATTGGCTTCTTTAGATTAAGTTGAATTAGCCAGACAGGATTTAGGAAGAAGAGGGAATGGCCTTGAGGGAGGGAAGAAAGAGCTGCTACTAAGGCAACGGTCAAATAAAAGGGGCCTGAATCTGTGACAAGAATATAATGTACCTAAACGTCCCTACTTCACACAAAGATGGGGGGGGGACGCATTCAGACTTGCAGTATTCTCTTATTATAGCTCTACAATAAAAGTCATACTAACCCACGTGACATTGGTTTCGTAGTCCAATCTACCTTGAAGGGTTGGTAGACTGTGACAGCCATTATGGGAAAAAATTGTTTTTTAAATGGCTCTGAGAAACAATAAAAGAATCAGTTTCCCATGGCATAAAAAGAGTGCTTTCAAAATCCAGGAAGAAACTGAATCTGAATAATTCTTCTTCCATAAATTAACAGCATGATCCCATGCATATTTATTTAAGTTTCACTATATTTAAGTAATTTTACTGAACAGGACAAAACAACAACCAGCCAGGTAGCCAATGACCTGCTTTGCCTTCATTCTTCTCATACTGCAATTCCTTTCTGCAGCAAAAAAAATAAAGTTTAAAAATCCCAACTGCCCATTAAGCGGGTATGTAGCAAAACTGCCCCTCAGTAAACTATAGAGGGTTGAGGAAACAACATAAGCAATCATCATTATAACACAGAGATGTTGTGGATAAAATTAAGTATCCTTCATTCTTTCCTATCTCTTTCTATAGAGATTGCACCCATCTGATCTTTTATGCTTTGAGTTGCTATATATAAAGTCATTTTAGATCAGCAGAGAAGAAAATCTACAAAGATTATCGGTGTTGTGATATTCAAGGTGTTAAGGGACCCTTCTGTCTGTACTATATGCATTCATGTTTGCCACAATCCTGGACAAGACCCCCAAGAGTCACATCATGAAGCTACAAGAGTTTGTCACGACAGAGAATCATCAAGAAAAAGAGAGTGCTCAGAACTGAGTTCCCCTTTTCAGACAAATAGAATTCTTAAGACCCATTGGTTCAATATCCATAGGATGTATAAAGTTCAAATTACAAAGAACTAACACTGGCTGCTACAATACCGGTCTTACTGGCTTGTCTTCTACTCTCTCTCTAATCTTGTTTGTCTAAAACCTTATCCCCAGCTGCTTTAAAAATTCTGAAAGATAGTACAAGTGAAATCCACCCAAAGTAGATTTGATTAAAGCTATTTACATTACAACATTCTACTTTGTAATTTTCCTATCACAGGGAAACTCAGAAACAACACCAACCCCTGGGAAACCTTAAATACTAATACATTTCTTAGCACCTATATATTAACTTTATTACGATCATAACCAGCATAACTACATTTCTTATATTTCTTATACGATTCATGTACTGCAATCCCATTTATGTTGGACATGATGAAATAACACACTTTGAGCTGAGAGGAAAATGCAACGTAGTTGCAGATAGTAATACTTAGCTACTTTGTGGCTAATCATAGCTTAGCTACTATCATGACCAATCACAAAATATTGCTTGGGTGCAACTCAAACATTCTTACCTTAGGCAGACTGATTCATGCACATAGTGAGATAAGATCTCTTTGTTCACTTGATGGATAATGGAATTGAATTTAAAAATGCAGCAATAAAACAATTTTAAGAAATTGAGGGTGTTGATGTCTGGTAACTGCAGTGAATTTAGAATTTCTTCTTTTACGGCTCTCTATAATATCAGTTACTCTATATAAAAAGTTTTATTGCATTACTGGATGAAACGCCATATTACCATAATAGGAAACCATTAATGGCACACCCTTTGGCAATATGAACTGTAACTTCATTAACCCCATATTATATTTATTTATGAAATGTCTATCTGCCATGTGTGAAACCTGCAAAAATACACACCCTCATATCAAGAAACCTCAATCCGATAAGTATATTTAATGATCCTTGATCCTTACTCTTAGTTTGCGGCTCTGTTTTCGAACCAGTTTGCCATGACGAATAAAATGAACAGGACACTGGTTCATTGCATTGTCAGCTTTATGACGAAGCCAATCTTCATATCCCTGAATGAAACAGCAAAGGAAAGATACAGTCAAATGTATCCTGGAAGAAGATAATGGCAAACTACTGGTGCATTGTGACCAAAACAATTGCATGGTTGTGTCCAACTAAACTCAACTTGAAGCTGTCTATCTCTTTTATCCCTTGGCCTATTATGCACCATACATTAGAGAAACTATAATATAAAATATATTAGATAAAGTAGGGCAGGGAAGAAGAGTTGAGAAATAACTAATCTGGATCCCATAATGAACAGGTGGGGGAGAGCATAGGCTCAGAACCGTAAGAGCAGAATCCCTGCTTCCAGTATTGACCTTCAGGAGTCAAAACTATAAAAGAAAACAATTGGCCACCCTGCCTGACACATGGAGAAAAGCCGCTTTCCTCTGAGTAGCAGTCAGGCAAGGGATTTCCTCATCATCCTTCTGTGCAAAGGAAACCTTCCCCACCTTTCCTGAAGGCAAGCCAGAACTTGGTTTGGCAGCCGCAGACAGCAAACTGGGGCCAAAGAAGGTCTCACCAAGGTCACTCTGGCTAGATGGGTCAGCCTGGGGACCAGAGACTTGTCATACCTGCCTTAGTGCTAACTACCATGACATTTTCACCAAGAACCACTTGACCCTTGCTCCTTTCATTCCTCCCAAAAATACTGTAATTCTTACAATGTACAATTATCCTTCTCTGTTTGTATTATGAAAACTGAAGCAATGCGATTACACATATATTTTGTTCTACAACACAGACGATTAGCATACGTAATTTGCTTTCGACAATAACAAGCTTTAAACTTTACATACTCAGCAGGTTCTAAGGACAGAGTTTAGAGCTGAAAGTGAACTTGGAAGCAGGAGCACCTTCAGGGAGTGTCAAAAAAAGTCACGAAGGATTACTGTGACCACCCAACTGAAGCACCACCCCTTTTGTACATGCATTGACACAAATATAAAAGAGGTGGGGCTTAAATGACATGGTCCAGTTCTATCTTGACTTTTTTTTTACATGCTTCCTACAGATACCCCTCTTAGAGAGCGTATAAAGTAATTCACTGACATACTTGAGTTTTCAGTATTTATTCACATTACTTGAGGATGGAAATACTGGTCTCATTGGACTCCTCACAACAATCAGGAATCTTTTAGACAGAGCTCAACACAAAACTCAGTTTGTTTAGCTAATTAATGATTAAAAACTGTCACAAGCTATTTCTGTAATCATCACAGGACAATTTGGTATTAATACTACTGAAATACTCAGAAATTAATTCTGCAGCATAGGATAAAAAGCATTATTCCAATGCTTCAGTATCTGCATATTTATTTTCAATTTTTTTCAATTAATTACTTTATTTATTAAAAAAATAGTTAAATCCCTTTTCATCTTCAATTAACAGCATCCTTGATAGCTTACAGTGACAATTCAATAAGGATAAATAAACATAGTTTTCACATACACACAGATATAGCAAATATAACTCCTGGAACCATGAGTACAAATAAAAATTCAAAATCAAAAAGTAAGATATGCTTTCTAGAACAAAGGAAGTGCTTTTTCCTTTCCATGGCTGGCTGGGGAATTCTGGGAATTGAAGTTCACACATTTTAAAGTTGCTGAGGTTGAGAACCAGTGCTTTAGGCCAAATCTCTCAGCGTAACTGAGTGAATGTAAAGGCAGAAGGAATTAAACATGACAAAAGTCATTGCAATGAATGAGTCGTTAAAAAAAACTTTTTGAAAAACAAGCAGGCATGATCTGCCTTTAGTTCTGAAACTCAAAAACTAAAACTCTAAAAAATTAAAAACTCTTACCTGTTTTATAGCTGTTACAATGATGACAAAGAAAAGCGGGAGCCCACTTGTTACTGGACTGGTTGGTGTGTCAATAATTAACTGGGAAATAAAGAAGTGTCACATAATTTTTAGAGAAAAGGGGGCTTTTTAAACAAAGTATAGAATTTTCAAACTAAAGTTTTATGAAAACGAACACTGGTCTTAAAAAGCAGTGAGGTACAGCTTGACAAAGTATTCTGTCTGAATAATCACTACACAGCCTAAATATTAAGGCAACTGCGAAACTTGAAGAAATCCAGCCATATTGCTAATTGACTGGAATGACTGATGGTGCTGTTATGTATTATGCAGAAACCACTGTTTTGTCCCTTAGGCTGACTTAGTTAGGGCTCCTTCAAATATACCTTTATGATGCATGTCTTCACAAACACGTTTAGGGATTCATGCTTAATATTTTACAGCACAAGTGTGATGTAAAGTGTGAAAATGGCTATTCTGACTTTTCCAGAAGTTTCTTTTCCAGAGTTTCCAAGCTCCAAATGCAGAGATTTGCAAAACAGGGATCTTTAGAGTTTGGAACATTTTCTGTAAGATCAAAGCAGCTATTTTGAAGTCAAAAAATTTCATACACTTTAACTACCTTTCTTTGCATTTTCTCCCCTACATTCTGTGTGGCCTCTGTATCTAAACTAAGGAAAGAGGTGTATTTTACCTGTACAAGAAAAATGATAAGAAAGTAGAAGTTTGCTATTCTTCGGAACTGCTCAAACAAGTTCTTCGGTATGAAGTTCCAAAAGGTGTACTGAAAAAGAAGGGAAAGTTAAGGAGGGCTATATCTTAACTTACACAGACATTAGACATGATTTATTTTTTTCTGGGTCAGTAGCACAATATATTACTTAATGCTGGGAATATACACAGTATATTGCAAAATAATTGTATGATCATAAAAAGGTCATATGTTATATATTATAGGTCTATGTGGGTCACATTAAAATAAGTGGATTAATTAACCTAAAATACCATTTTTCAGCTTTTCAGAGAAGATGGAGTGTACCTTTCTACATTTAGCTGTGGCAATCATTTAACAAACTTCTAGGGAGTGTTGATAAATTTGGTAGTAGTTTGTGAAATACCTCTGAGCAATCCAAAAGGAAGAATATCAAACCTGGATTGTCCATTTTATGGGCAGACATAAACTTGGCTTTAAAGTGATTAAGGAGCACTTCATGCCGAATTGATGCCCTAAGATAATCCGGTTCTTAGAACTAATTTAAACACTATTCTATGGAAGAATTGAATGTATACTGGGATTTTCTGGAAGAATACCGAAATAATGGAGGAATGGATTGTGAAGATGGCAGAGTTTGCAGAAAAGGCTAAACTGACTTGTCTGATTAAGGGGGAACAATAATTACTTTTATAAAAGACTGGAAACCCTTTATGGACTTTTTGCTGAAAATGGATAAAAATGAAGTGGTGATTTCTGGATTTACTGATTAAGAAAGGTTGTTCATGGGAAGAAGGGAACCAAGATATGTAATTTGGGAGGTTGGGGATGGTAACCACTACATCTGTAAGTGCTGCAAAGATTGGAAGTAGCCTCTTTTCTTTTTTCTGTGTCTCTTGCTGTCCCTCACTTTTTCTTTTATTCTTTTACATCTTTTTCTTTTCCCTAGTTTCCTGTTTAAGTTTTGAAGTTTTTAAATCTTGTGTAAGATTCTGTTCAATAAAAACCACACACACACACACACACACAGTATATATGAACTTACACTAAAATTTTTACTTTAGATCAATTACAGAATGGTAATGATGAGTTTTTATAATTTTTTAGGTTAAAAGATAAATACCATTTATTTGTTGCCACCCACTGGCAGTATTTACAACTATAATATTTACAGACATCTTGATTTGGACCAGCAACATTTTCAGCTTCAGAGATACCTAAATTATTAGAAGTGATTACTAAATCCTACAAGACAAAAAAGCCCACAATTAGTCTTTAGCGGTGTTAGCGACAAATCAATTTGATGTGCAACTTTTAAAGATCAAATGAAATAAGGATTTGGAGATCCTCATTTTGTCTAAACAATGGGAAACTGCTAACTAACCTTAAGGTTAGTATCAAAAATTTCATTAGATCTTAGGTTATGACATATTCAACAAAAATATTATTTCAAACATATTGGACTTCACTGCATTTTTATAGGAAAGGAATGAACAAATGATCATGTTGTGGAGAAGCAATAAGAATAACAATTAATAAATATATTTTTGTGATGTTTTGTGAATGGTAAGATTAATATTTTTGATGTCCATATTCTTTTGAACTACATACCTATTATGTGGAAATTGATGGCTGGACATCAGAAATTGATTCTCTGTGCCCTTCTTATTGCTAAGAGACTAGTACTTCAATACTGGAAAGATAAGTTTATGGCCGCAATTATTTAGTACACTGAAGACCTGATGTTACTTGCAACTTATGAATGAATTGCTTATAGATTTGTATAGATAATTACAATGAAATGTAGTCATCCTTTATTGAAACAGATATGTAAAATAGATACATACATGTATGACAAACCTATATATATTTATATATATATCAAATTGTTGTTGTTGCTGTATTGATTTCTTCTTCCCTTCTTTTTTTTCTTTTGCTATTATTTCTTTTCCTTCACAATGGAATCCAATCGGTCTGAAATATTTTTGATTGAAAAAGTTGTATTTTTTAATTAAATGAAGGCAAGATGATGATGATGATGATGATGATGATGATGATGGAGCATGGAAACAAATACCCTACCTATGCTTGGGTGCAATCCCAAAACATAATATATTATAAATATTATAAATATATTTATACTTATTAAATATAATAAGTATAAATATAATTGCGTCTTGGGTGCAATCCCAAAACATCTGGAGCACCACTTTAAGACCATCAGCATTGACAAAATTACCATCAGTCAATTGCAAAAGGCAGCTTTACTTGGAACAGCTTATATCCTGCGACGATGCCTTTAACACCATCAAACAACAACATCTGCCTTTCCCAGGTCCTTGGGAAGAACTCTATCGGTGGATAAAAATGCTAAATCCAGTCTAAACATCTAGCTGACTGTGTGACCAACAATAATAATTAGGGAGCATGGAAACAAATACCCTGCGTATGCTTGGGTGGTATAGTGAGCATAGTTAATTTGAAAAAGCTTGTGGCAATTCAAAAGGGACCAATCTGTGGTTTTTCTTTCCTGATATGGAAAAAGCTACTTGTTCAATCAGAGTTCCTATAGACCCAGACCTAAATTAAAAACCCCTTGGCTGGATTTTATGCTAACCCTTCCTCTGGACAAGTCCCATTTTAGAGGAATAAAAACATGATACTATAATTATATATTCCATTGCTAATTTCTTTATCAAAAATATCTTTCCAGTTGCTATTTCCATTTATACACCATATTTTGTCCAGAGGGTATTCATTATGACTTGTACTTCCTTCATTTATTCCTGCCTCTTCATTCAGCTTTAAGTGGCAACTAAAAATACCTCTATTTGAAATGTTAAATATGTTGGATTCATAATGCAGTGATATCTGTCCACACCACAGAAATACCAAAATCCACAATTATTATTAGTATTTCTTCTAAATTTTGTTGGGATTAGACATGCCTCCAAGCAAGAAAATCCTAACAGAAACTGCAGGGAATATCCTGCTAAATATTAAATAAGTAATACAATCAGTTCTTTTGAGGTGGTTTTCTGATACAAGTGATGTTGAAAGTTAAATACTGATATTAATTTTATTTTCATCTCAAAAGCAAAGTACTTAGATGACCCACCAGAAAAGACCCACCAGAAATAAGTGAATTTCTCTGAAAGTAGCTTCTGATTCAGATAGTGATGGGGGTCTACCTCACAATAAAAATGAATCCCATTAGTTCCTCATTTTTTTAAAAGAGATGAGATTTCCCATTCATGCATTTAATTTATTCTGGTACTACTTTAATAGATTTGGTTTATGGCAAAATGCAGAGTGGGGCTTAGCTTGCACTTTCAGGTTTTATTATGATATATTCTACAGAGAGCTAGTTTGGCATAATGGTTAAGACAACCAGGAGACTGGGAGTTCCAGTCTCGCCTTAGGCACGAAGCCAGCTGGGTGACCTTGGGCCAGTCACTCTCTCGCAGCTCTAGGAAGGAGGCAGTGGCAAACACTTCTGAAAAACCTTGCCAAGACGACTGCAGAGACTTGTCCAGGCAATCGCCAGGAGTCAATACTGACTTGAAGTATGTGTGTGTGTTCTAAATACACAACAGAATGAAATGATGGAGTGGACAGAAATAAAGTAGGACAAAAAGGCGTGGCTGTGTGTGGAAAAGTCTGTCTTGTAGTCCTTCCTTTCCCCGTTGTTGTTAAACAGGCCCACTTCTTTACAATTATGGTTTTGGGAGTTATTCCTGGTGGTCTGCTTCATGGTCTAGGTGAGACCCCGGTTGTTGCTTGGAATGAGAGGGCAGCTGAGGCTTTGGATGAGATCGCGCCCCTGCAACCTCTCCTTCCTTGTGGATCCTGTTGCTCTCCATGGTTTATGGAAGAACTGAGAGAAACGAAACTGGAAAAGCAACATCTAGAATGCTGCTGGAGGTCGATGAAGGATGAATTCAATCAAACATGGGTGAGAGCCACTATTAAGACCTATCTAGTGGCGGTAAAAGTAGTGAAGCAACAATACTTCTTTGCCCTTATTGCATCCACGGATGGCTGCCCGGGGGCTTTTTTTAGGGTGGCTCAAGCCCTCCTGGGGAAGGATGACTCAGAAGTTCACCTACAGGGCCATGCGGAAGAATTTGCAGAGCATCTGTTGGACAAAATTGCTCAAATTCATTCCCAGTTAGGCTCCAATTTTAGTACAGGTGCAGTGGAGATGCTTGGGGCACAATCTTGCCCATTTATCTGGGAATGGTTTGAACCTGTTAGACCTGAGGAAGTGGATAGAGTCCTTATGACTGTGAGCTCAGCCACCTGCTACTTAGATCCATGCCCCTCCTGGCTAGTTAAGGCTGCTTGGGGGGTGTTATGTGGT